TGATACCTGTTGACTGAAGCACTATTTCAGGCTCTGTATCAGCTAACTTCAGCTCCGTGCCAACTATCAGGATGACACGGTATGACTGCTGTTTGATGCTTCTCTTTGTGACCTGTAGTAGACCAGGCCTGTCATCAGGCATATTTTCCTGTCACCTATCTAGCTACGTCTACTGTACTGCTCTTATGCCACTGTAAATCTGTCACCTTCCCTGGGTGATAGCCTGTTAAAATTTTCCTACTAAACTCTTCATCTAAAACCTTGGTTCAGAGGATCTTTCTGTTAATCTTATCATTCCTTGGGGCTTTACCTGGAGGACAAGACACAGGTTCTTTCTATGCTCAGGTCATCCCCAAACATAAAGGAATGTCTCAATTAGAGTCTCATGACTGAGACTACCTTCCTTTATTAGGATTTGCTGGGTAATGTCTGTATCCCCGCAAGACTTTTAGTTCACTGACAGCAAAGACTGTGTGTCTGTTTTCCTCATGTTGGTGTCTGACACATAATCAGTAAATATTTATTGAATGGAAAAATGAGTGACTCAGCATACTTGTCCCTGTCCTTGTCAAAAACAATTTTTTTCTGTTTAGTATTAAATATTTTGCTCTTGATGGCAGTAATTTCTTGCTTTAACCTTATACAAAGCATGGCATATGGGCTGCAAGAGGTGAGAAACACCAACTTGGGAGAAAAGGAAGACAGGACATGAAACAGTGCAATCAAAGCAGAATTAACCATTGTCAGCACTAACAGCAGGGACAGAACTCATTTTTCTAGTGTCAGAAACACATGAAGGAGTAAAACCATTGAGAAAGAATACATTTCACAAACATCCCTCTATGCTCCAATAATATTCCCTGCAAGGCTCTTTTTATTATTTGTAGGTCTTTTTGACTACAGTAGATGCACACTAGATTTTTGTTAGATGATAAATTATAGTACTGGGGTGGTATTTAAAACTGTCTTTGTAAACTAACTCAAAGCTATAGTGCCAAAAAACTCTGTCCCCTAGTACCAGTTTGTGAGAAATTTTGCTGTTTGAAGTTTTATCTGAGAATGGAACATTCTACTCTTGCCTAAAAAATGTGAGCCAGGGGGGTTCATTTGATCCAGAGAAGTAGGATGGATTTACAACCCAGGTGCAGAACTTCAGAAAAGGAATTGGGATCATAGCATTACACATTTATCTTAACTTTGTAGTGTCCAAGGAAACTTGAGTCTGCCTGTCACCCCAGAACTCTAAACAGTGTTTCTAATGGGACCTGGTGAGGCCACACGACCCTTCGAGTGACTGCTGCTTTCTTAACAATAACTTACCCAGCCCTGCTTCCTTCCATCCACCTCATGAACAAAGATCTATGATACTCAGTTCAAAGCAGATTCTGCTTCCTCTACCCCTTTCCTAGGATCTCAGCACAAGTTTGTATCTCATCAGAATTTCCTTCTCGAGTTTACGCTTATTGAGCCACTCCAAGATTTGCCTTTCTGCAGCATGTTAAATTTAACTTTGATGAGCTTATTGATAAAAAGCGCTTAGTTGTCATTGTGCTTGCAAAGTAGACATTCAATAGCTTGGGGTAAAGAGACATGAATTCATATTGCTATTATAAGCAGCAACTAAAGTAATGCTTATGTATGAGCACTGTAGTCCTACATGCTAAATCTCATAAACCCAAAGAATCTACCGCCATTCAACCTCTGAGAGATGAAAAACGAACAACGTCGAGGTGATGGCACAACAACTTGATACTCACTTGAAGTAAAGACTTCCGGTCTCGCGCAACTCACAAAAACCTCTATGCAGCTCACCCTGAGCGAGCCGGAGGCGCGCGCATGCGCAGCACCAGCGCGCATGCGCAGCACCCGCAGGCCGCTCCGCCTTCCCCTCGGCGCCTAGATTTACATCCGGGTCCTTAGGCTTTACGCTCCTCGCGCTGGCAGGTGTTTCTCCGGGCTGACTGGTTGTTGGTGGTTTTCGCTGTTCCAGCGTCAGAAGAGCCGGTGGGTCGGCAGGTGAGTACACGGGAAGGGCCTGGAAGGGGAGTCGGGCGGGAACCCGGCTGGTTGTTGCACCCACCGGTGGGCTCTATGCGGAGACGGGGACGCGAGGCGGATGGGGGTCCCGGGAGCCTCCAGCTTGACTGGTCGTCCTCTTCGGGACGGGGCTTTCTTGGCTCCTGCTCTTTGGCAGTCTTCTCCTGACACTTGTTACAAATTCGTAATAGTCATCCTCATTTGCATTCGTTAGGGTTTGCGGAGAGACGGGCCCAGCGGCCTGGCAGGTGAGGTGAGTTTGCAGCCCTCGCCTTCCGGGCAGGGACCACAGCCTTCTCTGCTGCTTCTCGCCCCTCCTCGGGACCCTGACCTGGACCCCTTCTCTGAGAGCCCCCTTCCTGGTCGGGCTTCAGGAATCTTTTGAGGTCAGGTGTAGTGTGTTGTAGGG